TAAGTTTCAATAGTTTTAATTTTAATCATATTATTCTTGATATTGTTGTTTAACTTTCATCTTCTACATTTATTACTATTTTAACTTAAATTTATTATTATTCTTAAGTTTTTTTTCCAATTTTTATAACAGTTTGCAAACAAACATGTAACAACCCAAATTTCACTAATTAATTAATTATGTTAATTAATTGATTTGTTGGAATTAATTTTAATAATTTGGAATAATTTGATAGATAATTGAGGAGAGAAATGGAAAGGAAAGAAAATAAGAAAGTATATAAGGAAAGTGGAAGAGAAAAGAAAAGATAGTAAGAAAAAGAAAATAGAAGAGAAAGAATAGAAGAAGAAGGAGAAAGAGGAGAAAAGAGAAGAAGAAGAAGGAAAGTGTGGAAATCTTCAAGAATCAACTCAAGCTTCAATCCAATCAAGGTAAGGGTGAGAAACATTATTATTTGATTAATGTGTATGGTTATGTATGATTGGGTTGGGTTGTTTGGGGTTTTTCCACCATTTTTCATTTTAGGGCAAAATGGATTTAATCGGTAGAAATCAAGTTTAATCGGCTAAAAACTGAAATAAATGATGTAGAATAGTCAAGAGATGTTAGACTAAGGTTAATGGAATTGGTTTGGTAAGAGTTGGATGGTTTTGGAAAGGTTGGATGTTGATAACAGTGGAGAAAAATTATGTTCGCAGACGCTCGCTAGCTTGTTCGCTAAGCGAGGTGGTAGCGAACGTTCACTAGGAGCTCGCTGAGCGAGCTAGTAGCGAATGGTCCCAGACCTGGGACAGAATGGATTGAGGTTCCTCGCTGGTAGCGAACTGGGCAGCGAAGGTTCGCTAGCCCTTCGCTCAGCGAGCTGGGTGGCGAACCAAGTCAGTGGCTTCTGTTTACCTTCGCGAGCTTGCTCGCTAGGCGAGCAAGTAGCGAAAACTCGCTAAGCGAGTAAGGTAGCGAGCATGAAAACTTTTGGTTTTGTTTGTGATTCATCCAAGGGTCGATTGTGTGGTTCGACTATGTTTTGATGCTTATTTAATCGAGTAGTTTGTGTACTATTGTGATGAGTTGTGGGTAGCTTTTGGGCGTGAATCCTAGATTGTAATATGTGTATTGTTTGAATTGGTTAGGAATACATGAGAACATATTAGTGAATATGTGCGTATTGTCTAATAAGTATGTGAATGCATATTGTTTGTATGCTAATGTATGTAATGCATGGGAACATATCGTGGATATGTGTGCATTATTTTGATGAATGTGATGATGACACTGAATGTGAATATCTTGAATTGTTGTGAATATGTTGTGTGTGCAATCATGTTGTAATTCTTGAAGGGATGAATTATTTGAATGCATGAGATTAAGATGCGGAAACGGTCTTAAGTGCATTTTGTTGGTTGATTGCATATGCATCATTTAGTCAAGAGGCAATGTTTGCTAGTTTCGTGGATACTAGTGGCTTGTCCCAAATCTAGAAGGGTGAGTTTGAAGCCTAGGGGACGGGCTTTGTTGTTATCGGTCTAGAAGGGTGGACCCGGTTTAAGTGTAAAAACCGAAAAATGATAACAAATGTTGGTACCACATTGCATTGAGTTGCATTGAGTTATTTTGGAGTCACATAGCATAAATGTCATTGATATATGAAATATGCTTGTGAGTGAATGTGTATTGGATAATTGTGAATTGTGCATGATGAGATATGCTTGATAAATATCCATATTTGTTCATATGTATGATGAGATGTATATGACTACGAAAATGATTGTGGTGAGAAAATGTGGATTATATGTATTTGATATTTGTGTGTATATATATATATATATATATATATATATATATATATATAAATATATATATATATATATATATATATATATATATATATATATATATATATATATATATATATATATATATATATATAAATATAATCTTATGCATTGATTATTATGGTAATATTTCTCACCCTTCTGCTGTTTTATAATGCTCTATGAGGCATTGCAGATTAGGTTGCTGGAGGTTTCTTTTGTGAAGTATAGCTTCATTCTTTTGAGTCGGCTGCTCTGATATGTAACACTGGGTAGTTAGGCTTGTATAGTATTCTTTTGTGATACATGGTATATGTATCTGATGATTATGTTTTGTAAAACATGAATGATATTGATGAACCAAACTGGATAACATGTATTTATGTGATTAAATGTTTTGAGGTAATTCAAATGTTTTAATCTCCCGCTTTAATCTAAATATTGAGATGTGGGTTTAAGGACTAAGTTCCTCTATTTTGAAAACTATCCCACTGTTGCATATCTTTATTGAGCAGGTGTTGAATGTTTTATTAGTGATGATGTGGCATACTTCTTTTATACCATATTTCAAACTTACTCTGATGAATTTTTAAAACGTGTATAAATGTTTATTTGATTTATTTGGGGTATAGAAGGGGGTGTTACAAAACGCGCGTTCAAAATCTTATCTCATCCAAAAACGTTCCCCGTACGTAGGCACGAGTTTGTTACTAGTTGTTATGTAAAAATTGCCAGGAGATTTTGGCAATCGTGCTACGATATGAAGAGAGCAAATGAACATGAATGCTACCTATTGAATTGCAAGGTGATATAGATTATAGAGTGATTTTGGTGCGATATAACCTTTACATAATCAAATGTGGTGTGATTTTCATAGATCTTACCATGATCTAACTGTTACATATTCTCTTCATCTTCATCTTAATCTTTCATGACCATATTTAACAAATGGCTCCCAAAAGAAGCAAAGTATAAAAATTTGGTGCTTCGACTAATGGAATTGTACCTTCACCATCCCAATAACCATAATATAAAAGATTCTTAACCAAATAGTTTGAAGAAATAAGGCACACCATTAAAACTTACAATTTTAATTCTGAGCACAAATTTGACATCAAAGGTTTTATGGAGTATCCATAAATCTTTAACGTGATTTACCAATGAAAATGGGTAACTTAGTGGAGGAAGAAAATCATTATTTAACTCTAGAGTTTTTCACAGACAATTATGGCAAGCTTACAGAGTAAACTTTTTTCGTTCAGGGTTGAGAAATTTTGTATAGCCTTTGTTTCATCATTAAATTGTTAGATTTAATCCATATGAATATTATGTGTTGTTATTTTGACCTGAGTCTATTAGCTAGATTTCGTGATAAATATGAGAATGATTATGTTTGTTTCTATAAATATTTGTCTTTTATGAGTTGTATCTTTTAGCAATATGTTTTTAAGTTAGATTGGCTAAAAATATTATCCAATGTGAAATCAAATTAAATGAAATCAAATATCTTGGTAGACTTTAATGAATAGCAAATCAAATCTGCATCAATTTAAATTTGCACCAAAATCAAATATGTTTGGTTTCAATTCAGATGCTCAGACCTAATATATATTTTGTTATATAGAGAAGACTCATTTCTAACCAGAGAGGGCGTGCAAGAATTGAAGATCTAATGTGTTAGGGTTTGATATTTGAGTCTTTGTAGTTGTTGTTTATTGTATACCTCTATAGCACATAAATTTCATATCAAAGGCATGGAGGTTGATTTGTTAGTTGAGTTGTAATTCAACATTTTTAAATCTATTGTATGCATTGATCACTATGGTTAGTGATTAAGATAAAGTGAGAGAAGTTCTCATATTTAAGGGGAGTTCTAAATATAAAGACATGGATAGTGTTAGTAAGAGAGACATTGAACAAGGTTTGTTCATATAAGACTATTTGTACTAATACTATTGGGAGTAAATTTTCTTTCTTGGGTTGGAAGTCCCCGAGATGTAGGTGAAGTTGCACCGAACTGGATTAACAATCTTTTGTGTTATTTATTACTTTATGATTTATTTACTAGTATCTGTTAATCTATTATGAGAGTGTTATACACATTGTCCCATACATTGTGTATAACATATGACATGCGAACCATAATTTCAATTGATATCAAAGCAAACACCCTATTTTCACTACTAGAAAAAAGACATTTGGAAAAATGATTTTACATCTGGTATTCACTCGAACTGATTTAAAATCTAAAAATATAAACACGGTGACAGTATCGTAAATAATAAAAAAAAATTTACTAGATTTTTTACATCGGGCCAATTAATTAACCGATGTAAAAAATTGAAAAAAAATAGTGAAAGGGTTTTTACATCGGGTAAATAACCCACCGATTTAAAAAAATATATTAAAAAAATTTTAAAAATGGGATTTCAAATCGGTTTTCATATCCACCGATCTAAAAAGTAAATAATAAAAAAAAATTACTAAATTTTTTACATTGGGCCAATTAATTAACCGATGTAAAAAATTGAAAAAAAATAGTGAAAGGGTTTTTACATTGGGTAAATAACCCACCGATTTAAAAAAGTAATAATTAAAAAAATAATAATTTGGTTTTTAAATCGGTTAATTAATGCACCAATCTAAAAAGTAATAATTTAAAATCCAAAATCTCAAATACTGTTTCTACCAAAATCTGCTCATTTCTAATAAACCCACAAAGAACCGTTTCCGCTGTTCTCTCTCCCTCCTTCGTTCGCCATTCTCCCTACCTCTGTCCACCGTTCGCCGCTGTTCTCTTTCCCTCCGTCGTTCGTAGTTCTCTCTCTCCCTCTGCCGTTCGCATTTCTCTCTCTCCCTCCGCCGTTCGCAGTTCTCTCTCCGCCATTCGCCGTTCCGCTTCCGATAACGACATACCACCACGCGAACACGGTTCTGAATCCAACATTATTATCAGGTTCAATACTCCTTCATTTTTATTCATTTCTATCTATGTTCTTTCATTTTTTATTCTTATATCCATTAAAGGTTAGGGTTAGTTCAAGATTAAATCGTTGAAATGGTTGATTCTGTTGTTGTTGTCGTCTGAGATTAAATTGTTGAAATGGTTGATACAATGTTTAATAGTTAACTTTAAGGAATCGAGTCCTTGGAGCTGTGGCTAATAGAGTCTGCAGTGGCATTGTTGCCATGTCTTTCCTATCTGTATCTGGGAAAATTTCTTTCGCTGGAGCGTTCTTTCTGTTTTTCGCTATTTCTTCCCTTGCCATTATTTTTGTTTTCACAATAGTACCTGAAACCAAAGGGAAGTCTTTGGAGCAGATAGAGATGATGTTTCAAAATGAAAATGAGAGTCGAGTAAAAGAAATGGAGCTAGAAGATGTTGAACAGCTTGTGCAGAACAAAACAGGGTTAACAAATTAGTTAATTAGCCTACACATATTTCACTTGTTATGTCCAAGGCTTTATGAGTCCGGCACGTGTGATTCTATGACACGAGAATTTGATATCTGATACGGGGCATGAGAAAAAATTAAGGCAAATTGCATTCTTATTATATACACAAACTTTTACTAGTCGTAGAATTATTCTGTTTCTTTTAGATTCATTTAAACTCATAGTAGGATTATATATATGCATGGGGAATTTTGTTGGAGATGATCCTGTCTCCACTACATGGTCTTTTCAGAAATTTGGAAACAATTTATAGTACCATCATTAGTAATTTTACCTAGTACTCCATGATGGATGTAATTCATATGAAAATTCTTTAATAAATCATATTCTTTTCAATTTTAGTATCTAAATTGGGGTCTTTAGACCTAGAAGCATATATGATTAGTGTCATATTATTATCAACATAAATCTCTCGTTGTTCATAAATCAAATAGTTAATTGGGCTTCCTTCTGTAAGTTACAATAAAAAATGTTGTCAAAGCATATCTAAAGTTTGTATATATTTCTGTAAAATTAGATGTTGACTACAGCAGAAATTGGTTTGGTATTGCTGGTGACGCCTAAAGTTGGATACGTTAAGCAGCGCCGGTCCAGAGGTAAGGCACCTGCAGTAGCTTTTCTGTATCAATTGAAAATTATAAAAAAAAAATTCCACTTGTAGTAGCTTACTGAATCATTACGTAAAAGTCCCTCTTGCTTTTGTGATATGGCTATGTCTTTACCCCAAGAATAACAACTATGTTAAACGAAACATGAAACAGGCAAAGTCCTAATCAAGATATTTTACATAAAAATGAAAACTGATTTGGTCAAATCCTGAGATTAAGTTTTAGTTTACCCTAATTCATAAACTATAATCTGTCTGCATTGTTATTCTCTTAAATCAATTCTGCTAATTTAACAATAGTTGCATTGATGTGAAGTTTAGTGGACCTAATAAGTTTATTAGGGGTGGGATTAAGGGTTTGTTATGGAATCAAGGGAATACTCATTATAATGAAAAGGAGTTGTACTTGTTTTCTTGAGTAATGGGTTATAGGTCTATCATATGTAGCAGAACACTGACATACAATATTGTTCATGAGAGACATAGAAGAAAGGGTTTTACAGACATTAACATTGTTTATATATTAATGTATATGTAGTAATTAATTATCAACATCATTAATTATCACTATGCATCTTAACTCATCATGAATACTTACCAATATCTTATATATGTCCAAAAGTAATAAAGACTAAGATTTTGATAAATATATTAAACTTTAACATGTTGTTATTTTATTACATCGGACCACAAAACCGATGTGATTGGTGTATTTCTTAAATACATTAATTATCACTATGCATCGGACCACAGACTTAAATATTTAACCGATGTGATTGGTGTATTTCTTACATCGGACCACAGAACCGATGTAAAATGTCTTTGATTTACTACATCGCCTGGCTTTACATCGGACTAAGACCCGATGTAAAAAGTCAATTTCGCCCGATGTAAAAAGTCATTTCTGCACTAGTGTTTATTTGAATGAACTCCAGTAAAAATATTTTATGTTCAAATAGATAATACTAAGGAAGGAGGACCAGTCAGTAGACCATCTGTTTTGGATGACAGAAACTATGATCATTCGAAAGCTAAAATGATTGCTCTCCTTAAATCCATGAAAAAAATACTGAATGCTATAATAAAAGGTTAGAAACACCATGTGACTACTTTCAAAATTTTCTTAGTAAATTAATTATTTTAGAAATTTTCTATTGAATAACTTTAAGGGCAATCAAGTGAGATAAATTATTTGTATTAACTTTTAATGTTAATTTGATTCATTTAACTTTTGTGATGCAATATCAAAGTCATTAGAGTAGGAAATATATTTTCAACTTTTTGATTTTATGCCAATTGAATTATTGATTCGTAATTGAAATTGATTAATGGTGAACGGTCTAATATAAGATTAAACGTACTGTTTTGTTCAAATACCTCTTAAATGTCATAATAAGTTTCATTAAGTAGATTTATCTTTAAAAAAGTTTTGCTTTAAAGAAAAAGAAAATAGATAGAGAAAATAACAGGGATCTTATTATAGAGTTAAAAAAATATGAGAAAACATATTTTAGGTTAAAATATCACATTCGAGATAATTTTTCTTACGAGTTTTGTGTGCTCGATTTTTTAAGAAAAGTCAGTTAAATTCTGAAAGATTAGCATAATACGTGGAAAATCCTTGAGGACGGCGTGACCAATACGTCTCAGACTATTTCATCGATTTTTATTTTGTAGGTCTTCGTAGCAATATCACCAACATCCTCAAGGAATTTATGGCTACCGAAATCATTTTCAATGGTGATGAGTCCATTCTTCAACCTCCGATCAAGGGTAAATAAACTGTTCAACAGAAACCGCTTCTCGTTTTGCCTATCAATTACGCTAAATTGTCCTATAATGTTTCAAAAATTGAAGTTTTCAATGGTCATAATTTTTGTAGATGGTATAAGCATGTTCATTTCCATCCTTGACATGCACAGTGTTACCCTTGCTCTCTCTCAGAACTGAAACCAGCGTCGTCTACAACTCAAAAAGTTATTGGTCAATGGACACGTGCAAACAAGGTATATGTTGAGATTGATTGAAAGTATATATGTTAATATTCTTTATGGTGGAGAATGATTGTAGGTGAATACAAAGAAAACTTATGTATTATTTTCAACCAAGGTGGACATTGTTGGGTTGGTTGAAAATATACATGTTGAAGAAGTCTCCTATCACTTAGTTTTGTGCGAAGAGAGACACTACTAAAAAAAGTGTTTCTTACCTCGAACGCGAAATGCATATTACTTCGACTATAAAAGTCAGGTAACGAAGGGAAAAATAAAAACTCGTCACTCATCACCTCGGTGATATTAAAATCGAGAAGTAAAGTCACATGCACATTCATCTCGATTTATTTTGAAAACTGAGAGGTAAGATTATTTCTTTTTTAATATAATTTTTTTATACATTATTTACCTAGATCTTCGAATTATTGAATCTTGGGGAAGCTCAAATATTGGGTGCAAGGTTATTCTCTTCGGATCTTGAACGCATCTGATTCTAAAGTAAAACAAAATAACGGTTAGATAAATAAAATGAATATTCAAATATATGATTTTGTACTCAAATAAATATTTAAGAAAACAAACCTTAAACCCAAGTAATTTTCTACTCTTCCAATTCATCTTAGAGAATTTTTTCAAACGTCTTTATGTTTTAAGTGCTTCATGTTTCATATAGATTAGATTATCAATATTCAACAAGCTTTTATAACGAACGTCCCTTAGATTTCACGCGGATCACTAATGACAGATTCGTGAGCATTGATAAAAATTAAATGGACGATAAAAATTTGTTTAGGGTGTTGATAAAACGCTTAACTATCCCCTCGACCCAGAAGAAAATCGAGGTGAATAAGCTGTTTTTTTAAATACATTATTTACACAGAATATTAAAAATACATTATAAAATCTATTTCTCAATGAGAAATTTAATTTACATGTCCAAGTCTCACACAAGATGTTAGAGATCTGTTTTCCAATGAGAATTTTATTTTCTGCACTTCCAATCCATTTTAGACATCTGTAGTAACAACTCATGATAGAAATTAACGGTGGTGAATGTTTCCTCTCTTTGGGGCGACTACATATAATTAAGTATTATGGTAAATTCTATTTAACGAGTACTTTTTATTGTAAAACATGATTACTAACCACATCAGTTTTACTATAAAATCGAGGTGTTATATTAACTATCACCTCGGTTTTAAGTAAAAACAAGGTGACTATTTCTTTTATTTTTTTTAAAGTACATTTTTTACACAAAATATTAAAAACATTATTTGCAACAAATCATCAGTGATATTCAAATTTTGTTGCATACCCATTAAAACAAATATTTTTGAAACAAGAATGATTTTCTGCACTAGCAATTTATCAATTGAGTACTATTTAAAGGTTGAGCTCCCTTCATTGTTGGTTAAGCTTCATTCATTCTTTAATTTGAAGCAGGAATGTTTTCTTACACTTGCAATCTATCAACTGAACTTTTTTCAAAGGTTGAGCTCCCTTCATTGTTGGTTAAGCTCCATTATTTGATTAACTTGAAGTAAGCATGATTTTTTACGCTAGCAATCTATCAACTGAGTACCCTTCTTTAACTGAGGATTATTCCAAAAAATACAACAACGACAACACCAACACCATTATGTGAGATAGATTGCAAGGACAAAAAAATGTTTTGTTCAAGATAGAAGAACATTGAAGATTTTTTCTATCGTACAATCTATCCCAAAGAACGATGCTTTGAGTGGCTTCATATTAGTACAAATTAGGGTAAAATCTATTTAACAAGTGTTTTTATAGTAAAATCTTATTATTTTATCCCTGAACCATTTCATTGTTTTACTTCATACAAGGCACACTTCTAGCTAGGCATGTCAAGGAAATCCAGACCCGCCCCTGCCCCGGTCTACTTTAATTTACTTTTATGCCTCATTTTAATAATTTTATTATACATTTATTAGATTTATTTTAATTTTTAAAAATAATTTTATTAGAAAAAACATGTTTATTAGTTATTTTACTCTTTAGAAACATGTTTATTATTAAAATGATTAATTATTTAATTAAATTATTAATTTTTATTGTTATGAAAAAAATAGTTTTGCGGGTGGAGGCGGGGCGGGGGAGGGGAACCCGTTTCCCATTGGGGGCAGGTTTAGGTGGTAGTTTTTTACCCCCGGTTGGATGCGGGTGTAAGGGCGGGTCTGTTTCAGGGAGGCGTGTGCGGGTGCGGGACTGCTTAAACCCGCTTTCGACCCGCCCCGCTGCCATGCCTACTTCTAGCTTCATCATCAAACTCAATGAGGCTTTATCCTTACTTTTCAATCCTCTTTCTTCATAAGTGATTTGATGTACAACTTATTTGAAGC